AGTATTATTTCTCAATATTGAGTTTTAGATAAGTATTAAAATATGAATTAATAGATTTTTCAATAAAAATATAATAATTATTTATAAAAGAAGTTTAAATTATGAGAAATTTTTGAAATTTTTTACAGCAAGAGTATCAAAATATTATAAATTTGTTTACTATTTATTAAATTAACTTATAAATTTGAAACTTAGTTAAAAAAGAGAATTAAAAATTAAAAAAAGTATTAAATAAAATATTAAAAAAAGTAAAAGTATTTATATTTTATACTAATTTCTATAAAAATTATAATAATATGTAATAATAATATAAGAAAATTATAAGAGAGTAAAGATCAAAAAGAGAAGAGTAAAAGTATAAAATTATAAAGAAATAAATAATAAAAAAAGTTTAAAAGACTAATTTTTGTACTTATACAGAACTAAGATAATATAATTAGTAATAATAATAATAAGAATTTTTTATTTTGTTCTTTTTATAAATAAAAATATTAAAATAACAAAAATCAAAATATTTAATATTTAAAATTAATAAAATTCTAATAATAATGAGTTTTTCAATATAATATAATATAAAACTAATAATTTAATAACAATAATTTGTTTAGTATAATATAATATAAAATTCAAGATAATAATAGTAATTTGTTCAGTATAATATATAAAACTATTAGTATTTTGTTTATAATTATGCAAACGTCATACATATAGTCTGAACAGAATTTTGATACCTGGTTAATTATATGATTTATCAATTTAACTTCTGATTACATAACAATTTACTATGTCAGCAAGTCTCAGCTGAATTTTTTGCATTAGAAATTATATATGTTAGTTAGAAATATAAAAAATAAAGAGGTAAATTAAATAAATAGTTTGAAAGACCAAAATAATGCTCTACGTTCTTATAAGTTAGATGTTCTTATATAGAATTAAACTATATAAAATTAATTGGTTCTTGAAAATTAGGTTCTTAAAGCAAATGTTCTCATATATCATGTTATCATCAATCCTGTAATTACCCTCCTTTCCTCATCAATCATTTTTTTCCGCCACTTTTTGTTGGTTTCAATTTTTTTCCGTAACTTCATTTATACTACTTCTGCCCATGACCAAAGTCTTATAAAGAGGTCTGTATAATCGTATATTTGTATAATTATGAATAAGATTATCTTCTTTGATAGTCTCGAATTTACAGATCTAAACTTGGTCAAAGATATCTACGTAATTTATATACGTGTGATTGTAAAAATGTTAATCTATCCTATGATAAAATCGCGCGGTATTGAATCAAAAATATTATCGAGTAATTTGAGAATTAGAAGGAACTGTTTTGGAATTAGCGCAATTTCAGAAACTGATTCAAAAATTCGAATACATTTTAGGAACCGGATTCCGGCAAGTTCATGAGCAGCTCTTGGAATTCCAGAAAATTCTGTAGGATCGTCAAATTTGTACATAGGAGTCAATTAATCCACGTTTTATTCAAATAACGAATATTTAAGTATATCAAAATAATAAAATTGATAACATTATTTATCTTTATTTATAATATTCTAACAATTATTCTATAAGAAAAACAAAAATTTTAATTATTATGGCAAGTATATATATTAAGAACTTTGCATAAATAAACATAAATACATATTTCAAATATTTATGAGAAATAAATCGGTGAATGAAATAAATACGCTGCAGAATAAACCTTTGTTCTTGATTTGGGTATATGTATCGAATCATGGATTACTTTTAATAGCCTGAGATAACTAACTGAACTCTTGTGTAGGCAATGCGATTTGATTTAAGTAAGAATGTCGGTTATTTTCTAATCTTGTTATGTTGTCTTCGTTTATATCTAATTACTGCTATTATACCTCCGATAATCGCGCCAATCCTTCTGGTTTTTCTTCGTTTAACTGGTTCGTTATTATATTTTCCGAATCTGGATTCATTATTTTCTCCAGTATCGATCTTGTGTGTTATTATCAATGGCTTATACCTTGTGTACTGAATCAATCAGAGGGAATTTACCTACATAATATCAATAAATTTAATGTAATTTTAATCAAAACGACGCATTTTCTTTAATATCCCACCATAAGCGGTAATCATATAAGGACCGTAGATTGATTCTGTTAATGTCATGAAATATCCGTGTATTCACGTGCATATTTTCTTTTTATAGAGATTGAAACAAATGCATGTATACTGTACAAAAGAATGAAGCTTATAATAATACATAACCCTAATTTAACCATTATCTTAACAACCTCATTTTCAAACTATCTAAACATATATTTTTTAATATTCGAAGAAGAATAAACCAGCCAACACCAAACAGAATGAAACATAATATGCTAGCCACAACACCTACAATTAATGCTACTTTACTGCTATACCGTTTGAATTTGAAAATGACAGCAAATTTGAGTGATTGGCGTTTGAATTTTTTTATTTTATATTTATTCGTGGGGTTTACATTGTTTATAATTTAGGTTTGGGATGTATAAGTGCTAGTTTTTGTCTGCCATGTAAATGCTGTAATATCGAGTATTGTTAGAATCATTAGCAATAATAAAAGTTTATGCAAAACTAAATTAAAGAATTTACTTAATTAAGTTATAAGTTTAATCCAGCCATGACCAATGTGAGAAGTTCGACCATTAAACATATTTCTTTTGTTATATTTATCCAAATGTATTGATAGGTTTAAAATAATTTGATATTTCTTTGTAAATTATAATATCGATATGCATCTCACTGGTCGAAAAGAATTATTTCTACCTAGTCAATATCAAAGTTATAGCGATAGTAGAAAATGTTATTTTATCTCTAAGTAACCGTTTGACTAAACATTAATTCGATCAATATCGGTCTATATTTGGTAGTCATGTATTATCAATGTGTTACTGCACCGCAAAAACAGCACAATACGTAAAAGAAAGTAACGTCATACCGTATCTTATTATTAATAAATTTTTATTTAATAGTATTCGGAAAATTTGTACAAATTTTCAGTTTCTTTTAATAAACTAATTTGTTCTACCAAATGGCTATTTAGTCATTCAGACGCAATTAAGTTTTCCCCATCTGAAAATAGACATTCAGATGGAACTGATCTGGCAGGAATTGTCAAGCAAGTTGAGAAAGAATTGGGTATAAGGATATGATCGTTTCTCAACCCAAAATCGATTCTTGAGCACAAATTACGACGTGATAACGACAGCAAGTGATGACATAACTGGTCTTTGATTTTTTCCTTTTCGTTTGAATAGTTGAAGTTGTACTTTGATTAGTTGGATTCGTAGTGATACTACGTGGTAATGATACTACGTATAGAGGCAATTGAAGTATTGAGATTCAGTATCATGTATTTTCAAGTTTGGATCAATGTCAGTTACTTTTGGCATCAGTATCACTATCAGTTATTAAACTCGATAGTTTCTTGGTTATTATCAATGTAAATCATGATTTCAAATTATTTACACAATTTATCGTTATGTATTACCGTTATTACGTAATCGATTTTGTCCTCAAATTTTAATCGATTCTAGAGAATCGATTCCTATCCCTAGATTGAAGGCTATGAAATAAAGTTAAAAGATTTATTGGCGTATGATATTATGTATTTGTTAATTTGTATATAATTTATCTTTTTATCTTATTAAGCCATAAAAACAAATTTCTTTGGTTTTCATAACCCGGCCAGGTCTTCAAAACCAATTTATAAAATTTAGATTTTGCGGCGCAATCTAATATTATATTGTATTTTAAAAGGTATCAAACAAGTATAAAAATCGATTATTTGTTTTTAGTCTGGTAACTTCAAGACGCGATGTTTTACGATTCAATAAATGGACCTAACTATTATTAGATTTGCCTTAACGTTAACTAGAAAATTGAATGATGGTTAGATCGCTTCGATCCGATCATTGGATTGCGAGATATCACGTTCCGAAGTTACCGACTACATGTATATATAAAATAATCGATTTCATCAAAAATCAATTATATATATGGTTCCGGAAGGTTATATCCAACAATCACAAGATTTGTTTCAATTTTTGTGATTTCTGACCAATCAATAAAATTACGATATTTTGATTATGACCAGTTATTATTTTTACATTTTTACAGTAATGGTAATTAATATAGGGGACAAGGAAACGGAAACATCAGAGAAACAACATTTTTGGAAGTACAGTTCTTATTCCTCGTTTAAATCTATTATTTTCTGGCAAGCGACGATGTGTTTTATACTTATTAACCGAGTTCTACCTGCTAACCCTTTATTACAGGCATCCACATATTCCAAGATGCTGCAAAATAAATAAAAACTACATTCATGATAATGTTTGGGCGAAACTATTTTTCAAAATCCGAAACATTTTGCGCAGAGAGCTTTCAGTTTCACCCTGTAAGTCTAAACAACCAAACCTTTAATTTGGAGACACTTTATAGAGCAAATTGAGCGAAACTAGTTTCGATCGAATCACTAATTTATGGTGCAATTTCTTCAAACTGTGTATTATTAAATTAATAGCCTTGAAATTAAGTAAGGTTTGATTTTCTACAGAGATACTGTATTTTATACAGCACTTTATGATAGTAAACGAGTTTTTATATATTTTTTATCCAAGTGACGCAAAGATTTGGTCGCTGTATGTTTTGAAATGTCTGAAAAAATTTAAATTTACATTATTTCGGAAATTCAAGCATAGTTATTTTCCGAGTTTATGAACTAGTAATAGTACCGAAAATAATACGCATGGTCAAATATTTTATTTACTAGATGCAAAATAAACTCGAAAAACGCATTTAACTTACGCAGAAATTTCACTAACAAATGCATTATTATACAAAACATTTAATCTATTTATTTCGAAATTTAAAATCTAATCAACCGGCATTTATACTGTTTCAGATTAACAACTACTTTTAAATTATAAAGAAATCTTTTAGCTCATCTTAAGTAAAAGATCGGTATTTTTGAAATTCAATTAAATCCAATTTCCGTTACCATCTTGATATCTAGTTTGCATATTTGAATATAAATATTGATTTGCTGATGGATTTGGAGAATATTGATTTCTTGGTGGATTGGGATTGACAGATTGAATTTCTGCTAAATTCAGAGAAAATTGATTTGCTGGTAGCTTTGGATTAACAGATTGAATTTCTGCTAAATTCGGAGAATATTGATTTGCTGATGGTAAATTCGTGTTATATTGTTGATATGCTGAATTAGGTCGACTTGGATCTGAATTATAGGTTGAAACAATAGCAGAAACTGGCTCATGTGCAGAATATTCCGAAATTCTTACATTTGAGACTTCGGTAGCAGTAGAAGAATGAAGTTTATGTCGACGCACAAAAAATACCACTAACGTTAAAGCAATGAGACAACCAACAATTGCACCTCCGATTGCAACGCCAAGAATTAAACCAAGCTTAGATTTCTTTGTACCATCAGTAGTTGTTGAAGTATTTACATTTGTGCCAGATGGATTTGTATTTGTGCCAGATGAATTTGAACTGGTACTTGGTAATTTTCTTACTTTGTAAGTAGGAACCCAAGCCAAAGAGTTTAAATCCGCCACATCCATAACTTTTACTTCATATGTATACGAATAATTTTTGTTAACTCCTGCAAAATAAAAAGATAAAATAAATAAAAGATAAGCAATAGGAAAGAATAAAAGAAAATAGAATATAATTTTACCGAAAGCTATAATCATATATCCATTATACATAACTGCACTATGATCTCTTGTCACAGTAATGGAAGGTAAGCTAGGAACTGATTGCCGGGACCACGTCCAATTTTTGGTATTCAATATCCACACCGAGTCAGAATCAGGGATCTCTTCGATGGGATAGTAAAGTCCTCCATACATAATAATAGAAATGGAATCCAAATCTTTTATTACAAAGAAAATCATATTAGTCAATTTTATTTTAGATTTATGTTATATATATTAAATTTTAAAGTTTATTACGAAGTAATGCAGAATGTCCAAATCGATTTTTTATCTGTTTGTCACTTGTAGATACCTAAATAAAATAAATTTTAATGTAACATAGATGTACTACATGTACGTATATAGCGATAGCACATACGTATCGGTATTCTTACGTACTTGTGTATTCCATGCAAGTTCTTTGGTATCAAATATTAATAGCTGAATAATTAATAACTGAATTAATAAATTCCTAAAATAAAAGAATAATAATGATAACATTTTAATCACATTACCTCTAAAAATTTAACATCTGGATATGGACTTCTGCTAATTCCGCCAATATAAACAATTTCGCCATCATTTAATAATGTAGCCGAATAAGATGATCTTGGATTCGGTCCATTTCCCAAATTGCTCCATTTATTCGCTTCAAACATGTACGTTGTTTTATTATCTTGGCCATCGTTACGCCCACCCCATACGAAAATTCTCGAATCATTATCAATAATTGGAATTATTCCATCTCGTGCACTTGGCCATGTGTTGTCTCCTTGGCTTGGTGAAGACGTTGTCCAATTAAGAAAAGTGTCATTGGATGTTGGCTTTATTTTGTATAGTGTGTTTGCTTTGGGTAATGACTTTTGGAATATAAGAAATGATGATTATTAAATATTTTACTGTTGATTGGATAAAAAAAACGAAATTTACTGGTTGTGATGCAACAGTTCCGCCAAATATATAAATCGTGTTATCTTTTTCTAGACAAGCCGCAGTCCAGACAGGTAATGGCATATTTTCAAGTCCAGAAACTTGAACAAAATTCGGATCAGTTGCTGTAAAGTCTGATGATAAACTCAATAGAAATGTATTGACTTTTTGAGGTGATGCTGTTCTACCACCAATATAATAAATTTTTTCTCCGACCAAAACGCCATTGCTTCCATCGCGTGGAAGTGAAGCATTGTCAATTGAATTGCATTGAGAAATTAAAATACCAACATTAATGCTAATAATAATAAATATTTTGAATAATGCGTTCATTTTTTTATAAATTTAGGTTGGCAAACATTAATATTAAATCAAAAAAAGCAAGCACAATTTTACGTTTACATACGGTTCACTCTAGATATAACGACATACCGATACGTACATGTATTTATCGTTGTATCACCAGACATTAAAAATAGACAAGCGCATGCTGTTTTTGCACAACTCGAGTTAACAATACTAGCAAATTATTAATAGCGAACTCATTTTTACCAACAATTACATGTACGTATATAGGGGTAATACGTGGATGTTGATATGTATTGTCAGCCAATGAAAACAAAGATAGGTTTCGTATTCACAAATGCACCATAATACATGTATAAAGAACAAATTACGTATTGCTTTTATATTGATTATTTTGTACATGGATAGATTTAATAATAAAGAGAAAATTGTGTTTGTGTCCAAGAATCCATCACTCATATGCAATTATCGTTATCACGTTTGAGAGGCTGATTTGTGATCCAACTTAAATTACGGAATACACTCGTTCCACGTGAATGTATAAGTGAAGACGATTGATCCGGTAATGTTACGATCCGGTCCTGACATATCAATACAAATATTCCATTCGAATCTTTATCAGTAGTTTCAGTCAAATGACCGATAATTTAGTACGTTCTGCGTGTCTTTTGAAACACAGGTAAAAATTTTTAATAAAGAATTGAGAACTTTAAGCTAACATTAGGTAAACGCAGCATCTACGAAGAAAATATTTTCAGATGCATGGACTAAAAAGAACGCATTTTTATACAACGGCGATCTCAAAAGGTGAATGTGTTAACGTTAACATTAACGTTACGATATATGACATACGAATAATGATCATTATAACATTGTTATTTATTTATTTTACTTTTATATACATGTATGTGCATGTACACATGAACAGCATACATCTACATGTACATGCACATTTATAGTTCTATACGTACCCGGATACAGATGTTTTTTATATTGTGTGACTTCACCATTATAATGATAAATTGTATCCGTATGCATACCTTGTACCACACAAGCCATCGACACTAATAGAAATTTGCGATATAACGACGTGCAGATTCTATTGAATTTATATTGTTTACAATAGGATCTGCACGTCGTTATATCGACATTCGGGTGCCAGGTTTTGTCGATCATATTCAGTAACCAATAAGAATGCGTAATTTTTTGATCAGCATCCAATAAGAATGCAGAAATTTTTTATCAGACCGGCAAAACAAATCCGACACAAGAAAAATAATTTTATACATACGTAACTTGTATCTCAGCTTTAACCCTAACCCTAAAACCAACCTTTTAATGTTAATTAATATTACAGTAGAATTTTCCGAGATCAACAAAACCTTGCACAGATTTCTTGAGTGCCGAAATTCGACTACGTATACTGCGTCATGTGGCCAATTTTGAATCTGCAGATCAGAAAAATAAAATTTGGGTTACGTATTATTACCATTCTTAACAAAAATTTCGTAATTCCATAATTTTTATGATATCACTAATTAAGGGATTTATGCACTCAATTTTCTATAGTTTACTATAGCAAATCGTCACGAAAGTCAACTTCGCTTCTATGCCAGCACCTTTGTGATACAAATTATGGTATTATACCTTTCGAAGCTAAATAGAACTTTGTGTCTTTTCCTTTCGACTGTTTTATTTTATATATTATAGCACTTATCGTTCTTAAAGAATCTTAAGCCAAAGTAATCCAATTCCCGGAAGCCATTTTATTACACAATTTATCTCATTACATTCCGATTGTTCTTGTTAACATTAAAATTAATCGTTATCGTTATCGTTATCGTTATTCGTTATTTGTCTCAGTAAATTCATTATCATTATCGTTTGTAATTTTATGTCAATTATTTAAAGTACTTATATTGAACTTATCGCTATTACTTTTTTGCTTTTATCACATCACTATTAAATATAAAATGATTTATGAAACAATCTCATCTTACACACTTATATATTACACTTCATCTCTACAGAAAATGCTTATTATAAATTCACATACACTATAAATGAAAGATTACTTGAAAAGATCTGTTAATATAAAGTAAAACCAGAAAATAGATTGTTACAAGATACAAATATATGAAATATATTAGTAATCTTCAATATAAATTTTATAGAATGAATTTATATATATATAGAAATATATTTAATATTACGTATAAAATTGTATATGTAACATTAAGAATGATCTTTTAATTCATTATACTCATATAACTTCAGTATCCTAAGCTTGTGAATAACAATAACAATAATAATAATTCTTGTATAAATAATCAATCTATATTTGGAATTTCAACTTTTACAAATGATCTCTTTCTACATATATAATATTTTAAATAAAATTGCTCAAAAAATACTAATTGGATACCAAATATCATACGTAATACTTAAACTAAGTGATAATCCAAATTGTGATATGAATATTTATAATACGTATAATCTTTACTATGATAATGTAGGAATAGCTAACACCAGATATTTAGATATTATATATAATAAGACAATTTTTCATCAATTAATTTCAATATATATATAACATTGCTGGTATGACTACAAATCTTGATATTCACTTTCTAGATAAACTAAAAAAAGTTGTGAACTATCAAGTTACTTGTCAAGTTCTAGAATTAATTTGGATTATTATCAGTATTGCAATTAACATAAAAAAAATCAAAAGATAAGTGATATTGAAAATGGTGACAATAATATTTTTAGAGTTTAATACTATTATTTTGTTGATCTGGCTATTGGATAAGATATAAAACAGAAAAATTATAATATGCAAATAAGAAACTTAGCAATATTTTCTCCTTTTTTTTAGTTGCTAGCAAAAATAATTATACAAGATCAGTAATTCATTTTTTATACATCAAAAATAATTTGCATTTTTAGAAATTACTTAAGTATTTATATTTAGTAAATATTACTTATCCTAAATATTATATAAAGTGCTAAAGAGATTTGGAGTTATATTTATAAAATAGAATATTAAAAAAATAATAGATATTGAAGAATAAATTTACAAATAAATTTTGTACAAGCAGGATAAAAATAATTAAAACTACTCATATTAGAGTTTATAAGTAATATAGTTATAACCAATAAGAAGTATTCTATATAATTATGCAAAAAAAGTTAGCTAATAAATTATTTGATGATTTTTTTTTGACAGACTCTAAAATATATAAACTTATATAAACATGCAAGAGATAATCTTAATAGAATTTTCAAGTATATTTACATATTATAATCTTAATATAGTCTGACTAATTGCAATTCAACATCAGAATATTTATAAAATAAATTCACAAAATACACAAGATCATTATAAATATTAATAATTGAACTTGAATCAATTTATTTTGACTCAAGTCACATTAAATCATAATTTTCTGACTTGAAAAATACTTGAGTTAGAATATAAATCAAAATATAAGTTAACTCAAGTTAGATAACTTGAATTAAATAATTTATAGCAGCTTATACATATTGTTACAAGTTTGTTTACTAATCATTAAATTAGCTTACAATGAGAATCTGGGTTGGGAGAGAGTATAAACTGATAAAGAAAATATTAAGAGGGAAAAGAGATATCTAAGATCTATGCCAATTTCTATGGAAATTGTATTTATCTAAAAAGAAGTAATAATGTGGGAGAGTTGTGGAAGAATAAAGGTCAAAGGAGAAAGAGAATAAAGAAATAATAAAGGAAATTTGAAGGAAAATTCTATATTAGCGTAAAGCTTCTTAGAACTAAAAGTAATATAATTAGTAATAATAGTAACAAAGACTTTTTCACTTTTATATATATATTTTCACTTTTACTTATTTCACTTTTTAATTTTTCGAAATTTCACTTTTCACTTTTATATATTTTTATAATTATTTATTTCACTTTTTGTAATTTCGAAAAATATATAAATAGAGATACTGTCTGAGTCTTAACTCGACATATTGTAACTGAAAATAAAAATCTCTCTTAACG